TCCTGGCCACCATGCCGCCATGCTGCTTGAGCAGTCTTACGGGATGGAGAAGGAGAAAGGAAGAAGGGACTGACCTCTTCCTTTCAGCTCCCTGGTGCCCAGTTGTTGGAGTGAAGCTTTTCTGCCACTCTCTCTGGGAGAATCAACCCCACAAAAGCCAAAACTGCAGTTGAAGCAGAATGTGCAAAACCTAAGTCATTCATAAAAAACCTCCGAGGAAATGTGCATGCTGTCTCCTGTCTTTCCCATGCAGAGAGATGACAAGCAGGACAAGCAGGGAGATTAGATTCTATGCATGGGGTGTGGTGATTGCCAGGAAGTAAGCCATGGTGCAGCCACTTTCTAAATGTCCACCTCTCATCTACTGCCAGACCCAATGGCAGGTGGCTGCCTCTTTGGCCTCCTGCACTAGTTAATTCCTTCAACACCTGTGGTAAGCAGAATAATGTTACCTCAGGGGTACCGTATCATAATGCCCCAGAACCTGTGAACAGGTTGTGCTATGTGGCAAGGAGAATTAAGATTGCAGATGGATAATCAGTTGATTAAGGGAGGTTATTCTGGATTCCCCAGACACCCAATGTTGTCACAAAGCTTTTTTCAAAGATAGAAGAGGGAAGTAGAAGAATCAGGGTCAGAGTGATGGGAAGGGAGAAAGCCTTGCCTATCACTGTTGGCTTTGGAGAGAAAAGGCAACCATGAGCCAAGGAAGGTAGGAATCTTCTAGACACTGAAAACAGAGCCCCCTAATATGTCATCAAGACTCAAGATACTGGGGAGAACTACTGTAGGAACTGTCACATCTTGAATCGATTTACGTTTCCCACTGCTGACTTGTCTTATACTGTTCGGAGCAAATGGATCAGGTGGCCAAATGTGTCTCCCAACCCTACCTTGTATTGGGTGGAACAGTGAATGCCACCTCCTTCTCCCACCCAAAAAAATATATGCCTGATTCCTAACCCATGGAACCTGTGAACGTGATCTCATTTGGGAAAAACATCTTTGCAATTGTAATTTCGGATCTCAAGATGAGAATATTCTGGATGATGCAAAAGAATCTTAAATCTAATGACAAGTATCCACATAAGAAAAGAAAACACAGGCTGGTGCTGGTGGTACCTACCTGGAATTCTAACTACATAACTCCAGGCTGAGGCCTGGAGGACTGCAGTTCAAAGCCAACCCCAGGCAGAAAAGTAAATGAGAACTATGTCCCCAATTCACCAGCAAAATGTCAGACTAGAGGACTCGCTTGAATGATAGAGCACCAGTCATGGGCAAGAAAGTAAGCAAGAATAAGAGGCTCTGAATTCAAAGGTACTAATGAAGAAAGGAAGGAAAAGAAAAACACACAGACACAGACACAAAGAAGGTGATGTAAAGACAAAGACAGAGGTTGGGGCTACGCACCAAGGAATGCCTGGAGCCACTGGGAAGTGGAAGAGGCTTTGAAACACGGTCCTGCCACACCCTGTTAGACACTTCTGGCCTCTAAAACTCAGTATAAATATCTCCTGTTTCAAGCCATCAAACGTGGTGATTTGTTACAGTAACCCTAGGAAACTAATGTATTCCTCAGTAGATGACCTCATTTTCTCTTAGGAAGAATGAAATTAGCCCAAGTGGCAAAGTAGTGGCTTCCGGTCATGGATTAACTCACAGCTTGATCCTTCCTGACAAGTCCTTCCTGAGAGCCCCTTCTCTGTACAGTCTGCCTACTCTGCTCTTACAAAAGAAGCTCTGCCTGTCTGGACATGTGCTCTGAAGGGGACTTAATTACAGGACACATGGTGGGCCTCCACTGTGCACGGTGATTTCAGCCACAGAGTTCACATTTGTAGAGGGGTTTCAAGATTCTTTTGAAAAGCTTTCCTTCATTTTCTTTCTGTTCTTTTTTCTTTTCTTTCTTTTTTTAAACACAGTGGTTCTTAGTACTCGACAAGCCATTCTATAACACAAGATACACTTAATAACTCAACCAAGAACTGAAATCAAGGCTTTTCAACCTGGACCACTGTGCCTTCTACCCTAATCTATATCCAGGGTGGTGATTTGTGTGAAAGGAGGGAAGAGGGGAAGGATCCAGGGACAAAATATACCCCTTCAAAAGACATGCCCCAACAACCTACTTTCTCTAATTAGCCTCTCCTTCACACCAATATCCTGTTAAGTTATGAATTCATAAATGGATGAATCCATAGATGATGCCAGAGCCCTCATGATTCAGTCACCTCCCAAAAGCTCTACCTATCAATTTTCTTGCACAGGGCCTGGAAGGGTATAAGATTTGAGGGGATATTTAAAATCCAAACTATAAAAAGATTATATGAACAATGGCATTGTACTGTACCATTATCTATAGTTAAATAAGTAAATAAAAGTCTATAGTGTAAAGGAAATGACTGTAGATTATAATGCACTCAACGGAGACCATATTATGGCTATGTGTTGGCTTCTCTCTTTCCTTGAAAACATGTCACTAAACAAACACTGCCTAAGTAAGCCCCTCTGGAACGAGAGTTTTCAAGAGAGAAGAGAGAGTAAATGGCTGTTGTCAGTTTTATGGTTCCTTCAGCTCATGATTGTATGACCTTCTTGGAGAAGAATAATTCTGGTTTCTAGGAATTTGCTTCAGGGGAGGCAGAGACGTAGAGGATAGGAAGACAGGAGGCCAGGAAAACCTTGCTGTAAGACATTTTCTGTCTCCTTTAGTTTGAAGTGCTCACTACTTTGGAGTATCATGGCCTGAACCCCTCCCTTGTTACTGCCAGATCTCCAGGAAATAGACATGCATACTTACCCCACAGGCAAGAGACTGACAAATTACAACCAGTGGGTCAAATCTGTTCCATTCTCTGGTTTTACAAATAAAGTTTCATTGGAGCACAGTCACACATATTCATTTATGAATATGCTTCTGCCACATGAAAGAGCTAAGTAGTTGCCAAAAATGACTCTGCAGCTCATAACTAAAATATTGACTTATCCAGGTCTCACAGAAAAAGCCTTCTGATCCATGCTTAGAAAAATAAATAAATGTCCCCAGAAGCATGTCTCTATATCCCTCACATGGAGTCCTAGAGAAAAGACTGGAACCCATAATCTAACCACAAAGCCCATCATATGACAAGTCCTATCCATGTTCACACATTGAGCCTCTTATCAAGGCCCAGAGCTTAAGCACAGTGGGTTATCCAAAGATTTTACAGATACTCAAAGAAAGACCCAGTGTAGAAGAGCATCATTTATATTTTAAAGAGATAGAGAAGAAAGGAACATGGAAGAGCTAAAGAAAATTTTAATAAGAAACATACAATAAAATTACAGAATTAGTATCCACTGGTATGTGAGAAGTTATTTTATCCAGAGAACAAGACACTAGCTACTATGGTAGATAAAAGTATACTCTGAAAACTTGAGTGTCAAAACAGATCAATATAGTCAAACAAAAAGATAAAGTGATTTTTTAAATGGAGAAAAATTAGACTCACAATTCAGAATGTTCAATATTTAACCAAAATAATTGCAAATCAAGAAAATAGAGGAAAGGAGTTTAGCAAATGATTTGTATTAAATTTCCAGGAAAAAAATATTATGTCTAGAATAGTGAATGAAAACAATTATGAATGCCATCATAAAATTTCAAAGCATCCTAGTAAAAAGATGTAACTCTACAGTGACAGAAAAGAACAGACAATAAAAGAACAGGAGTGAAAATTAATCCAGAGTTACCAATAATAAACCTGGATGCCAAAAAGTGGAGTACTGCCCCCCAAATCCAGAAGGAAAATGACTTTTTAACCTCACAATCCACAACCGTACTCTCAGTCAAATATAGAAATAAAAAATGAAAGCATTTTTAGATTTGTAAGGACTCAAAATATTTAGCTCCCATGTGTCCTTTGTTAGAAAACTACTAAAGGATGTGTTTCAACATAACAAGAAAGTAAAACCAAAAGACAGATGGTGGAATCCAGGAAGCAAGGAAGGGTTCAGCACAGAAGTAGAGAGTTTCAGGATGATGGCTACATCAGGCCCATAGAACAAACAATCCAGATTGGAGCAAGAGGACTGTAGGTTGAGGGAGAGGGGACCTGTCAGAGACAGGAACAAAACCAATTACTTATGTGATACATATGAGATGTGGGAATAATTGCCAGATGTTTTGCAGGTCTGTTCAAATCCTTGAAAAAATAATAATAATGCTACTAAAGAGAAGCAGCAAATGATTTTATCTAGTTTCATAATATGGGCACTGAACATTGACTTAATAAAAATATTCTATGAATTTATTTGGAGGAGGGTGATTAGAGTTAAATCCTTGTCTAAAATCAATATATCAAGAACAGCGAAGAGCCCATAATTTAGAAATCTACAGATGAATGCGTAAAAGAATGGAGGAGAAAACAATCAGAGCTTTTTCTTTCTTTGAATGGATAGTCATTTACTACTTCTTGATTGTTTTCACTGTCTATAGATTATCCATATCAGATTGCAATTATCGCTCAAAAAAGTAAGTGGCCTTTTGGAATAATGCTTACCTGAGATCTTTGTGGTCTTTTCAATAAGCAAGTCCTCCAACTGGGAATGCTGAGCTGGAAGCCTGACAGAACTGTAGGCCTTCTGTGTGGTCCAACTGTTCAAAGTCTGTAGTCTTCATAGGCAGGTGACACACAGCAGCTTTGGAGAAGCATATCAAGATGGGCATCCACAGAGTTAGGTGCAACCAAGTTTCAGTGAAGAGTTTACCAGGGATGAGGAGGATGAGCATGAAATGTGTATGGTGCCCTGAGACTACGCAATTGCAAATTGGTATGTTCTTGACAAGAAACAAGTTCCAGGTCAAATTCATTGATAAGGTTACAATTGGGGTGAAGATATTTGTTTCTTTTAATTTGTAATTGTAGGAAGACTACTATCATATTTGGGTTAAATCAAGTTATATATATATTTTTCCAATATTTGTGCCATTCCTCTGCTCTGCTTCCCTCCCACAGCTTAATTGCTTACACAGAACAGTATGTGGAGTATGACCCATTCATAACGCCCGCAGAACCGTCCAACCCTTGGATCAGCGATGACATCACTCTGTGGGACATCGAGATGAGGTGAAAGAATGTCTGGAGATTTGGGGGTAGGAAGGGATGTAGAACTGGGATCCATGAGACCAGGACATGATCTGTTCCCTCACTTCATTTAACTCATTTACGCCAGAACTGAATCCTCTCCGATTCCTGGCTTCGACCTCCTTATACCTTTGGTTTGCACATGGATCCTTTGTGGCTTTGTGTCTGACCTCTCTCTGACTTCTTTGTATGTCATGGTAGCTGGGATGGTCCCCACCATTTCCCAGGTCTAAATGCTGCATGGAGAGAATCTGTTAGCCTGCCCACGTTGTTTTCTTTGTATTAGAAAGTAACAGCAATGAAAGGGGTGACTGATCAAAGATACCTTGTACTCATACACTGACATGCTGAACTGAAACCCCTTTGTACAACTTCTTAAAGATAATGGCAATACTAGCTAGCACTTTCTCTGCATGGTCATATTCAACAGAAGGTGCCTTCCAGGAAGTCCTCTCAACAGGTGAATGGTGTTTGGCTTGCTGTGAAACAGATAAGGAGACTGAGACATGAAGGCACTCATGCCCTTGCCCAAGGCCACATAGCTGGTACTCGGCAGTGTTAAGATGAGAACCTGGGCAGCGGGGCTCAGAGCTATGCTTCCCATCCCTCGGTTCTTCTGCAGTCACTGGCAGCAGTGAGCCCATGATGCTTTGCTCTGGGATGGGAAGGGAAAGGAGGAAAGACCAGAGGAACAGGGACCCTTCCAAAATTACAGAAGTAGCCACACCAACAGCTCCCCAAAAAAGACCTTGAAAAAACTAGTAAAAGTCGGGCTGGGAAGGTGGCTCAGTGGTAGAGTGTTTGCCTTGCATGCCTGAGGCCCTGGGTTCGATTCCTCAGCACCACATAAGCAAAAAGAAAAAAGCCGGAAGTGGCGCTGTGGCTCAAGTGGCAGAGCGCTAGCCTTGAGCTGAAGAGCTGAGGGACAGCGCCCAGGCCCAGAGTTCAGGCCCACGACTGGACCCAAAAAAAAAAAAAAAAAAACTAGTAAAAGTCATAGATGCTTACTATAAAAGTTCAAATTAACCACATAGGCATAAAAAAGAACAACCTTCCCTCTCTCATCTTCCAGGTAATGGGTTTGTCCATAGTGTGATGGCAGCATTCCCAAACTGCACCAGGACTCCTGGGTCACTGCAAGCAATTCCTGGGGGTTATCATGGGGTTGGGGGAGGGGGAGAGAATTGTCACTGGAAACAAAGCGATGTTTGACACATGTAAGATACCGTGCGAACCACTGGCTTGGATCATTCAGTGCCAGCGTCAGAGTCTATTCCATCTTGTTCCATGATGTCATGTCTTTGCAGACCTAGGTTTTCAGAGCAGTTGCTTGGATATAAACAAAAAAATCCCTAATACTGTACAAAAATTATCATGGAATAGAAAATAGAGCAGGAGAGGCTGATCTGATTCCAAAGTTTGAGAAAATGTACAGTGCCCTACTGAGGATTTAAGGATGAAATAACAACACTACTTGTGTTTATGTGCATTGCACAGAGCAATTAAGTTGCTACAATGTAAATATTTATAAAATTGAATGGTCCTGACTTAATAAGCAAAACTGTTCCATGTTTCCTTTGTCCCAAGGGCACTGTGCAAAGTGTACTGAGATACTAAGGTGCTGTGAACTCTGGAAGTTTGGGGAGATTTAGTGTCTCTTTACATTGTTTTGCATATAAAATATGCATAAAATACCTTTGCAAATCTGGTACATTAAAACAACTCTCACTTGACTTTCTGTTTATTGAGGTACTTTAGAATCTTTTCATGAGGTTATTAGATATTCATTCTTTTGTGATTTCTGTGTCCTCTGGCCATTCTTCTTAGTGATGTGTTTTGCTTTGGATACTGGGAATTTGAAATGACCACGTTTACTTAGATCATCAATTTTATCTTTTTCCTGCTGCTTCATGATTTCTGGATCTCCTTCTTTCTTCTTGCTTCTTTTTCTCCTCTCTGGCTTGTTTTACTAGCCAAGTTTTGTGTTGGCTCCTCTTAATCTAGTTTCTATTCTAAAGAGTTACTTTTAAATGTTTTCACTAAAAAAATCACTATATCATACCCATAATAGTGACATATATATATATATATATAATTAAAACTGCATATTTAATTGGGTACCAGTGGCTCATGCCTATTATACTAGCTATGCAGGAGACTGAGGATCACGGTTCAAAACTAGCTTGGGAAGAAAAGTCCATGACACTCTTATCAGCAATAAACTACAAAGCAGGAAGTGAACCTGTGGCTCAAGTGGTAAAGCGCTAGCCTTGAGCAATAAGAAGCTCAGGCTGGTATCCAGGTTCTAATTTAAACCCCAGGACCCACACACAGAAGAAAAGAAAAAGAAAAGAACACTTCTTTTCAGTGTGTGTGTGTGTGTGTGTGTGTGTGTGTGTGTGTGTGTGTGTGTGTTTATGCTAGTCTTGGGGCTTGAACTTAGGGCTTAGGTGCTGTCCCTGAGCTTTTATGCTCAAAGCTAGTGCTCTACCACTTGAACCACAACTCCATTTTTGGCTTTTTGATGGTTAATTGGAGATAAGAGACTCATAGATCTTCCTGCCTAGGCTGGCTTAGAACCTTGATCCTCAGATCTCAGCCTCCTGAGTAGTTAGGCTTATAGGCATAAGCCACCAGCACCAAGCACTTGATATTTCTATCAACATTAAAAGAATCCATAGTATATAAATGAGCATCTGTATCTTCCTACATTTCTGATGTGGCCAAGTAATCTCTTCCATTCTGATCCAAGCACATAAACTTTTTTTTTCAATTCTACCTTTCCTTTTCATGAAGTTGTTTGATAGGAATTCTGGGTATGTAAGATGGACCTCCATACCTCTCTCATTTTCTCCATTGTAATTTCCATATCTTCATCTTTTATTTATATTAAAATGATAGGCATTCTAGAATTGTTTCTTGGAGTCCCTAGTTTGGATCTCAAGGGTGTTCTTTCTGCAATTTCTTACTGTGGGGCAGCTTCAACTGCACTTGGTTTCTACTGAGTGCTTAGTTTCTATTGAACATTGGGAGAAGTAGTCAGGGATAATGTGCTTTATTTCAAAAACATCCTTGAATCTCTTGTTCTGTCTTTTTGTTTTAGCCTGTTCTCTGTTGATGTTTTTCCTTTGGAATCCTCTGAGGTCTTGATACAAATATGTTCTGTATATCTTATTTTCGTCATATTTTTCTGTCTCCGCTCTCTTTGGGGGGTCTCGGGTCAAAAGATCACTGTTTCTGGCCTTTGTTTTATTGCTCCAATCACTAATTCAGAGCAGATTCCTTTCACTTACCCAGCAATTTCGAGATGTGTTTGTTTTTATAAATGGAGGTCTTCACTTTCTGCTCTGATTGTCCACTAGAACCACCAATGCAGTAATTTAAAAGAAATACTAATGCCCACCCAAAACCAATTACTTAATTATTTCTGGTTTGGTTGCTTGGTTGATTTGTTTGTTTCTGTTTTGTTTTACTTCCTAGACAATCCTGTTCTAGAAAAACTGTATCAAGTTCTGTATCAAGGTCTGAGAACTCTTTCACTAATTGTATGGGTCAGTGGTTCTCAAACCATGGGCATACAACGTACAGCTGCCCTGGGATAACTATGGGTATTCATGTTTGTAGCAAGCTTTCTAGGAGATTCTGGGGCACAACATCTTTTAAGAACTGTATGGATCCAAGTTACCTGTGGCAGCTTTCCCCTAAGCAGTTCATGTGCTTTTGGGGATGTGTCTTTGTATCTCAGTAGATGGGAATGGGTAAATTGTCAAGATTCCACCTCTGGGTCCTGAGTACAGGGCCCAAGAACAAGAACAACAGAAGGCCTGGATCCTCTCCCTAAGTGAGACAGGGAACTGTGGGGGCCGTTGGGGGGTAGAACCCCATCTTCTTTATCATGGTGTCCTTTCAGATAAGTGTTCTGCTCCAGTTCAGGAGTTTCAAATGTCCCAGTTTCCTCCCCTAGATGGAGATCGACTCTTCTCCCTTTGAGGCCTATTCTAGGAGACCTCAGTTGGATCTCCTGAAGCCCACGAGAAGTAGCAAGTGAGCTGGGGTGTCTTTAGTGGTCTCTCTGCCATGCTGAGATGGTTTTGCGCTCTCTCCATTGCTGGGCCACACCGCCGTTAACCAAGGCATGCCCTCTGCTCTTATTGTTAATATTAGAAGCTATTCAGAAAGCACCATCTTTACTTAGCAGTCCTTTTTTGGCCTTGTGGAGCCTGTATTTCTGATTTTTTTCCATATGTTCCTGTTTAAAGCATACTGCCTCCACTTCTAGCCCACTTGCTCAGAGCTTGGAGTTTTAAAAGCTTTTGTTGGGGAAACCCAGCTATTTCTTCTGATGACTCCAGTGGAATCAGAGTCCGCTGTCAGTTGGCTCTCACAAAGTTTGTTTTATCTGCTTCACCCCTTTTTAAATGCTCCAACTTTTACCCTCTGCCAATAGGAAATTGCTTTGTGTCTACATACTATATTTAGTCTAAAAAAAAAATACTTCACTGAACTTCAAAGTCCTGTCCGTCCCTCCCTTTCCCCGGACCATTTTTCAACTCATAGCTGGCTTTGCCACTCATTCAAGTCTCACAGGCTACTCGTAAGGTTTTCTGTGACTGCCCAATTTTATGTGGGTTCCCCATCCTTCCAGTGTTGTCTATTATAGCTGCCCTATTTCTCTTCTAAACAAGACCAGCTGTTATCATCTGGACATCTTAACATGCAGTAGACATTCAAAATTGTAGGCTGGATGGAGAATGGGCGAGTAAGTAGTTCTTTCTTTGTCATTTTTACTAGTATTTGGGGAAGGAGGAGAGGTTAAATACAGAAGCATAATTCGCTATGATAAAACGAATTCCCTCTTTTGTTCTTAAATCAGCATGGAAGCATATAATAGTTTGGGAGAAAGGTGGTCACATGTTCCCCTGGCTTGTCCCAACCTATTCAATACTTCCAAAGGGTGCACCACCTGCCCTTAGAACAAGTGC